GAAGAGGCAAGAAATAAAAAGGCAAAGGAAGAAAAATGGCAAACAAGAAGCAGCATCCGTGACTTGGCAGCAGGCAGGGGTCTAGACGATCATCCAGCATTCAGGGAAAGACTCGTTATGTGCTTTTATCTTCCCAACGCCCCAGTGAAGAAGAAAAGCCAAGAAGAAATAGGACTCTACAGTGAAAAAGAGCCAAAGCAGAAAGAACAGGTCCCAGATCTTAAAACTTTTTTGACTTCACGGCATCATAAAGCCCAGGAAGTTGGGATGACCCATCCTTGCTCTCAGGTGTGACCAAGGTGCTGGGGACATGGAGAGTCCTGGGAAGGGGCAAGCCAGGGACCTGGGCACTCTGCCATGCTGCGGATTAAGTTGATGGAAACCACCTCGTGCATGCTGAAGGGCAGGAGTGTAGGTGCCTAGATGGTGGCTTGGGGTGCCCTGCCAAGCTTAGGGAACCAGACCATGTATGAAACCCAAAAGCATCTCCCGGTCCGAGGTTCTAGGCTTGCTATACCAAATGGAGAAACAGCCTATGCTTGAATCACACAGCAACATCTCAAGAAAGGGAAGAATTCACCCAGAAAAATGTCCCAGTTACTGGGAAATCCTTCTGTCCCTCTCTGCTCATCTTTTGCTACAAGGACATGGCACCTTGTGGGGGACCCTACTTCAGCTACAAGAAAAAGTATCTAGACAGCACAATGGTTTCTTACCTCTTGACTCCATTTAAAGTTAAATAACTATTTTCACTTCAAAAGCCAAATTCTGATTCAGCTGAAAACTCCCCCTGACTTCAGTGGGACCGGGGATTTGGCCATCGGTCAACACTGAAACTAAAGAGACATTCATAGTCACAAAGAAACTGCAAAAGTACTAAAAAACCAAGGGAAGACAGTCAGGGTTGCCAAGTTGGAAGTAGGATGGTATCCCTTCTGCTATTGTTTCTCCACTGATTTTTTAATTTGATTAACTAAATGAGATACCTTTCAACAGACTTTAGATCTGACAAATGCCTGCTCTGTCAGAGGGGCCTATGCAAACAAATCTAAGGCTTCAGCTGTCCTGGCGATTACCAGCCTACATGCTCAGAAATGCAGAATTCCTGCAGGTTTTTACTACATCGTTTGCTCCCAAGCAAAGGGGCTGGAAGGCACAAGCCTGGGGAAAATAACTCCAGACACGTGGACAGCTGTGGTCTACAACACAGTTGCTCTGTCCCATCAGGCCTGCTCATGTCCTCCCCCAACACCCTGAGCAAAACAAGCCCTCCCATTTGTCTGGCACGTGGGGAGCTATAGGACAACACGGGGTTACGTTCTCCTGGTGGTTGCATGGAGATTTGGTTAGGCAATGCCTGCAAATGCTGAGAGGTAAGGGGCTACATCTCCAGTGGCACTTGAGACATTTACCTCGTGGTGCAGAGCCTCCCACATGGACAAACGGCGATCCCATCCGTGAGCCCAGGGACGGGGTGCTCTGGAGATCCTGGTTCTTGCTTTTGAAGAACGTGCCTGGACACCATGCTTGTCCTCAATCGCGGGCAACTCCCCCCAGGACAAACCCTCCTGGGCATGCTAAGCTCCTCGCAGGGTAAGGATGCTGGTTTTGTCCTGTTTTCACACAGAGCCTGATACCCGGTGGGCATGGCAAGGGCTACCCAGAAATTAACAACTAATATGGACTCGCGGGCACTCAGGCAGGAAGTTAAGAATGAAGAGCAGTGTCGTGGTCAAGGTCAGACCTTCTGCTTCCCCTTCATCCTTCTGGTGAATATAAACATTCCTCACTGCATCCTGTGGACAGACTCTCCATCCTTTCTTTTGCCCAGGATCTCACCCCTATACCATGAGCAGGCCCAGGAATATGATCCTAAGCCTCAGGAGCATCTCACAATCAGCTTTGCTACTGCGATTAATCAACAATTGCTGTTACAAGGGACAGATTAAGATCTGCTACAGACCTTCCATCCTCATGAGGACCACAGATCCCACTTCTGCATGGCAACCCCCAAAGCTGGAGGAGAGCAGAGAAGCCCCAAGGGATGCAGCGACTGCACCTGCGAACAGAGGACTGGTGGGGCTGGCTTTATGGGATGACAGGCCACCACTCTCCCACTTTCTTTTTGAAAATCCCACAGTAACTTTCCATTGAGAGGGAGGGAAATTAAATAAAACTCCTAGAGTCACCACTGAAAGAGCTAAATTCAGAGATGGATCGCAACTGGGTTCTTCCCTGCTGTACTAGCTAGCTCCCCAGGTTACTTAGCCTGGAAAGAGAAAGGGCAGGAAGACGCAAAGTCCTCTGAAACATTCTCTGAACAAACCCAAATTCTCCAGGCCCAGCCTTTCTGAACTAAGTATATTCCAGCCAGACTAGTTCCTCCACCTTGGGTGATGTAGCTCCATAAAAAACTGGACTGGAACCCCTGAGTAGGCGCTGCTGGCGGGGTTT